TTTTTGCAAGAAAATGAGTGAGGCATTATATCATATCTCCATTTTAGAGAGTTTGTGTTATCCTGTGATTGAGTTCATTGTTGAGGTGTGTTCTCGAGATCATTTGAATTCTTTTTAACTTAGTTGATCAATCTGAGACTTTTCTCGTTTGAAACCGGTGGCCACTCTCTTTCGCTTGTTTTATTGCTTTTTCTTTTCTTTTTATTGTTCGGGACGAACAATGGATTTAGTGTGGGGGAGTTGTTCGTTCCATTTTTGTCGTGTTTTCCTCGTTTATTTTGCATTTATTTTTTCCCACTCTAGGTTATTTTCTTTGTTTCTTGGTCCATTTTGTGTCGTCTCGCGTGTTTTCTATATTTTGCTCGTTCTTGGTTTTTCTTGTGTCTTTTTCTCGATTTTCTACGTTTTTCTTGTCGGTGGTGGTTTACAGGTCAGGTAGTTCGATTGGAAAGTGACCATGCGAAGATAACTATCTAGGCGGACGAGTTGGGGTCGAGTAGGAAAAGCCGGAATCCAATTCCGAGCCCGAATGCGTTGATACGAGTCTGGAAATCACGACCTTGTCACGAAGAAACCTTCACCGCGGGCCACGTCTGTGTTCCCGCGGCCGCGGTGAACAAACCATGCCCAGCTCCCAGTTTTACTCACCGCGGCCGCGGGAGAGGGAGTCGCGGCCGCGGGATGCCCGATGATCCAACACTGGCGACAGAGCTGAAAAGTCGCGGCCGCGGGATGAAGTCGCGGCCGCGGACCTTCCCTTCACCGCGGCCGCGGGACATGTCGCGGCCGCGGAGTGCGCGTTTTCAGCAGTTTAAAGTAGCAGTTTTCTTTTATTTTGGGGGTTCGTTTTTTGAACGCTAGGTTTTCAATTCTCTCAGTACTTGTCTCGAAAAACTCATACTTTTCCTCAAATTTGATCTTGTGATTCAATCTTGGAGAGAAAAACTCCGAGATTCGACTTGTGGATTCGGTTTGCTCTTGTTTTCGACATTGGATTTGTTAATCGTAAGCTTTCTTTTAGTTTTATTATTGATTGAATGGCTTTGATTATTATGTTTGCTGATTTTGAATGCATTATGAGTAGCTAAATCCATTAGCTAGGGTTAGGGGAAGATCATTCCGGTTCGATTTCGTTTATATGCATGATAATTCCTCAATCCTCTCGAGTTGTGCTTAGCCTAGGATTTTGATGTTTGATCACCATCTTAATCTAGTTAATCGATTTTATAACTGAAAAGGG